TTCCGGTCTTTACTATAACTAAAAATAATATATAAATTAATAATATAACTTTATTTCCGAGTACTAAAGTCTATTTCTAACTAAGATCTAACTTATATTATTTTAATATAATATTTCTTATTTTATTTTCTTTATTTCTTTTTCTTTTATAATTAGCCTCTATTTCTATTACTTTTATATACTATATTAGTAATTATATCTTATAGCTAACTTATATCTAAGTTACTAAATATATTAGAAATTAATATAAAATACTAAGATTAATACTTATATATTTTTAATATTTTAGCCTTAGGCTTAAGATATTATAATAGCCCTTTTCTTTCCTAATTTACTAAGCTAATAATTTGCTTTATAAATATTTCTCAGAACTTTATAAAAGTATTACCTTAATTATAAAGTTTCTATTTTCCCTATATTACTTACTATAAAATATATAAGAGAAAAACTATAATAAGACAAAAACCTATATAAAGTATACTAGATTATAAAACGTAACTTAATAGTAAAATAATAAATTAAAAGTATAAATAATAAAATATAAATAGTATATAATATATAAAAGCTTAATTAATTAAATACTTATAAGAAATTATTCTCTAAATCTATAGAAAAACTAGCTTTCTTATATAATTTCCGTAAGTTATATATAAAAGACCGCGGCCTTTATTATATAACCTAAATTTTAAAACTACTAAAATAATATAATTTTTAATAAGTATAGCCTACTATATTATAATAACTATTATATTTACTAATAATTCTATATCTCTAGAAATAAGAAGCCAGGGCTCTTATATTTATTACTAGTCCCTAATTATTTCTAGTAATATATATTAGTAAATTTTAAGAAATATCTAGAAAATAAAAATAAGTATAATATAGTAATAATTTTTATTAATTATCTAGACAAGTATTCTGTTATAATTTCTATCCGAGATATAATAATAGCTAAAGAATTAATATTTCTATTTCTTATTTATATAATTTACTAAGTTAATATTCCGGAGACTATAATATCTAATTAAAGTTCCTAATTTATATCGGATTTCTGAAACGAGTTTTATAAATATATTAGTATAAAGCTCAAGTTATTAATTATTAATTATTTCTAAACTAATAGCTAGATAGAAATTATTAACTAGTATTTTAACTAATAGCTATATTTCTATATAAATTATTATTAGAATAATTAGAATAAATAAGTAGTAATAATTAACTACTAGTAAATAGCTCTAATTTATAAGACTATAGGCTAATTCCTGTTTCTTATAAAGAAGGGCTATAAACTATAGATATTATTTAATTAGAAAACCCAAGTATAATTAGATATTCTAAAGAAAGAGCTAAATAGGCAAGAAGTAAAGGTTCTAGTAATATGGCTCTATAAATTATAGTAAAAGATATAGGAGAATATAATATAAATATAAGAATATTATATTATTTAAGCTAATAAGTACTACTAACTAGTAAACTTTAAAGTAAGAAATAAAGTATAAATTATTATTAAGTACTAAAAGAATAATTATTCGAGCTATAAGCTAGCTTACTAAATAGAAGAACTATATAAAATCCTGGAATAAGTAGGATATTTTTTTAGACTTAAGCTTCCGGAATTAATAAGAATATATCCGGTATTTTATATAGAGAAGCTATATAAGAATCCAGGTAATTCCCTTTCCGGACAAGTGAATCCGGAGCTTCTGCTATTAGAATTATAAGACGGGGAAATAGAATATAAAGTTTAAGAGGTACTAGTAATAAAGCTATTCTATAGAAAGCTTAAGTATTGAGTCTAATAAAAAAAAATAGGATTCAGATCCGGAGTAATATCCTGTATTCTTATTAAGTAATAGTGCCCTGGCTCTTTAGAGCTTCTATAATAAGAACCCCGAATAGCCAGAACTGCCCCAGAACCTCCCCTATTAGTTAGACTGTACCAAGAATAATATACTACCAGAACCGCATAATACGGACGGAAATCCTTGCAAGTCACGTGCAAAAGACCCTGGCCTTTCGCACGTGACTGTAACTTGAGAATTCAACAGGGACTTTCGAAGCTCGGGGACGAGCTTACTTCGAGGGGGGGGGGGGTAATATTACGGTTATTACGATATACGGTACTAGTAGGGGTTAGACTAGAGCTAGTTAGGTATCTGGCATCTGAGCGAGGTATCTGGCATCTGAGCGTGGCATCTATAATCACCTAATGGTTACACGTGATCCCGAGCTTAAGCTAGCACGTGGGCCCGTGCGTAGCTCGCAATTATTTAGATCCGAGGCTCCTTCGAGATCCTCTTCTCTCTTTAGCTTTGAATCGTCGAAATAGAGACAGTCTAACCACGCCTTCCAGGCCCTAGATCTTGTGCTCGTGACATCTTTTATTAGCGAATCGGGCTCCTCGCTTAGGTCCGATTAATCAATCGCTCGTATTGACGAACCGGGGGGAACACATCTACTTCGCCTCAATCTCAAGTTAAACCGAGCAACCTAGTTCGACTGGGACGTCAATGTGAAGGGCTTTAACCTACCAGACGCCGTGATTCGCTCCTTGGGACTCGGTATTCGTGAAATCGGGAAAACCTTTGCACGGGTACAGAGTTTCAACACCCTCAAACAAGCGCAAGACGGACGGGCATCCCCCTCTGGCAGTAATAGGTGTACCAGAAATGCCTGAGTGTGTGCAGTGTGGAATTCAAATGCCTTGTGTGGGATCACCTGCCCATAGTAGACTAGCAAAATTCGAGATCTTCACATGGTCTAGTTAGATCACTCGCTTCACAAAATTCAATTTTTTGTGCAAGCTATTTCAGTAATGTTTGCATGTTGCCAGAGTGGCATAACATATGAAATCAAATACACCAGTTTATTCAAGTACATGCAATGTTTAAATTATTTCTGTCCATTGGTGCTAGTGAATGGCTTGCTGTTCTTGAAAAATACACAGTCTTGATGCGAGAAGAAAAGGGGAAGCTAAGCGAGCTCGCTAATCTATCAGGCCTCTTGACAGCAATGGTACACCCGGCCCTGCACGCTTTTCCCACTGCGCTAAAAAATGATGCACACAAATTTTGCAACGGAACTTGAGGAAGATGATTCACTCTGGAGTTGAAGGACGCTTCAATGTACCAAATGTTTAGGTACATTGTTTCCATTGCAACAAAAGATATCGAGGACAAAGATGCGATTAAAGGGAAAGAGATCAACGAGGGTGAGCGCTATCATCTGTCCTTTTTCCTGAAAGCTTGACGGATTGCATACATATCAGATTCAACGCCAAATCCCATAGTCTATCAATAATTCACAATTCATCTCTAGTTATTAATCTAGGAATCCAAACCCCGCAGGTGAGAATGTTCTGGTAATCTCATCGAATCTAGACCCTCCCTTCCTTTCAACGCGGTTAATCACCATCGCCGCTCTGCGCAAGCGCTACTCACCCTCGCCTCACCCTCTGCTCAGGTTTGTTAAGTCACGTTCCTCCTCTCCCCTCCAGTCACACGCCAGCGGAATGGATACACCAATTGCCGGGGAGCCAAAACTTGCCCTCGCCAGCCCCGTCCCGCCAGCGCGAGCCAAATTTGTTCTTTAACGCTGGCGCATATAATGTAATGCCGCTTGGTATACGCCATGGAAAAAAGGGAGCAGAATCGGGCTGCCTTAGGAGAATAATTCGGCCCCCCGACACTGGCGCCCCTCGCTCTATTCCCTGCCGACGTGTGGCGGTCGCTAGAAAGGGCTAGGGGGTAAGTTTTGGCTCCCACGTACTGGCGTATCCATTTCGTAGTATATTTATTTTGCTGGCGTGAAAGGCGCTAGAAGGGAATGACTAAAGCACGTGGTTTATTTTATACTTAAAGCCGAAGTCGTTTAAATTGGAGTACTATAATTCGGTCTGCTTCAATTTAAAGTATACGAATTAGGTACAACAGAATCTCGAGTATATCGACTTTATATAGTTTAAACCTAGATAGTGTAAATTAAAGTACTATTATTCGGTTTATGGTAGTGTGAAATACAGGGAATCCTCGGAGGAACTGTTTTTCCGTAGTCTCAGGTCTCCTCCTCCTCTATTTAGTCTTCTCTCCTTCCCTTACGGAAGAAATTAAGCAATACACACTTCACTTTCACGATTGTTCACTGATTGGATGCCCTCTTCTCGCGGGATTTGATTTATTCTTCTTTATCCTCCTTCCTTATAAGATTAACAGCTGATCCCCTTTCATAATTACTATTTGCTGAATAGAGCATTCCAAACAAGTACTAGAGCCTCTTAGGACACTTTCTCTTGGGTTGTATGCTGGGTTGCCAGCCAAAGCCAGCCATCTTACGGGACCGCTCCCATGGACCATTGAAACACATATGCGTTCCGAAGGAGAAGCGAGTGGATCAAACATCATTCCACGAACACTTGTTATCCCGATATCCAAGGGATGTTCCTCATTAGCCACACGATGAGAGCAAGGCTCCAAAATCTGCGCCTCCCAGCGCAAACGATGCAAGTCGCCATACCCAATCAAGCAAGTACCTATATTCGTTTTGTACCTCACACTGACAACAAAAGTATCTGCACGCAATGCTACGAGGAATGGGAGAATACTAACAGATGTCATGCATCCAGTGTGGGCAAAAAATACTCAAGCTACTCAAGAGTAGTCTTGAGTAGAGTAGAGTAGAGTTTGAGTAGCGTAATACGGTACTTGAGTAGAGTAGAGTAGAGTACTACTCAAGAGTACTACTCAAGAGTACTACTCAAGAGTACTACTCAAGAGTAGTCACGTGCAAGTCACGTGAATGTAGAAAATCAATGTTCATTTAATTATTAATAAATAAATAAGGTACCTATTAAGCAGTACTATATAATTTAAGCTATAGCTTATATAAGGCTACTTAAATACTACTTTTCTTCTATAAAAAAACAAATTTCCCTCTTCAGAATCTTTCTTTTCCTTCTTTTTTTCCTCTCTTTTTACTTCTTCTAATTCATCTTTAAATAACCCCCAGCTTTTTAGACAAGATATAATCTCAAAAGTACTCTTATTAAGTCTATTACGCAATTTAGATATAATAAGAGTACCTTGAGAGAAGAATCTCTCGCTAGCGGCCGAGGAAGCCGGGATTCCTAGATATTTCCTAGCTATTAGAGCTAAAACAGGGAATCTAGCCGCATTAGACTTCCAGTAGTCTAGGGGCTTAGTCTATATATATATTAGTACTAATATATAAAAAAAAATTAAAAGAATACCGGATAGTTATTTAATAAAATTTAAGTAAAATTTACTTACTTTCCTATCTTCTCTCTTTTCTTCTAAATAAGTTACTAATTTGTCTTCTATATTAGAAGACTTATTAGTAATATATATATCGTCTTCGTCTTTATCGGAATCGGCCATATTAAAATCCGAGGAATCGGATCTAGCTTGAGATAAATTATAATCGTATTTATATCTAAATAAAATTAGTTATTAATTAATTTATTAAAAAGTAATTAAAGGGATTACTTATACGTTATAATCGGTCTTTAATCTATTATATATATCCGAAGACATACCGCTAGATAAGCCAATACTAGTTAATCCTTCTTATTTAATTCGAGGATTAAGAATAAGGGCTAAATATAAAGCTTTACTTTTATTATCTAAAACGCCTGTTTTAGGATAATATTTTCGAAGCTTAGCTATACCCTTATTAATAGTATCTATAAATGCTTTATCCTATTAAATATTAGTATAATATTAATAATAATATAAGAAGAGTTTAAAAAAAGACTTACTTTAAATTCCTTCTTAAAATTCTTTAGTTTATTATATATTTTATATACCTCAGGTATAATATAATATATAGTAGGGTAGTTTTCGGCTTATAACTTTGTAGTAGCTTTAATAAATATTGAAATTATATTTAAAATATTATTTAAATAAGTAATTTCAATATTAGTTAAAACTAGACTTTTATTTTTAAAAGCCTTTGAATTAGAGCTATTAATAACAACCTCAATAGCTTTATATATATATAAAAAGTTCTTTAATATATTATAAGTCAAAGACTACCGTATTTTTTGGTCTATAAATAATTAGTATTAATTAATAATTAGATTATTAATTACTTACCAAGTTAAGGAAATCGAGCATTTTCTATATTAAAAGCTTTAATTTGAGCTTCTAATAATCGTCGGTTTTCTTGGTTATATTTAAGACCTATAATAGTCTTTCTAACCTTTCTCCAAATTAATAAATCTAAAATTTATTAATAAATCTCTTATAAATTATATAGGAAATTTACTTATTACTTGCTCTCCTTCTTCTTCTCTATTTTCAAGTTCTTCCATTTCTTGCTCGTATAAATCAGTAGAATAAGAAGTATTATAATCGTTCTTAATAAGAGCTTTTAAAATATCTTGAACTACTAAATTTAATACGTAAGCTATATAAGGAATATCTCCTTAAAATTTAATTCCTTACTTATTATAATGCTTTATAAAAGCCTTTAATAAGGTATCGTTTGAGCTAGTATTATCTCAAGTAATACTAAATAAAATATATTAGTAATTATATTATAAAAATATAATTATATTACTTACCTAGTAATATTATATTCAATATTATATTATTTTAAAGCTTCTAATAAAACAGAAAGCATATAAATACCAGAGTATATATCATTTAAGTCTTTTATTACTAATAAATAAGATTTTAATATAAAATCCTTATTTATAAAGTATCTAAAATAAAATTAGTATATATTTTATAAAAAATTAATAATTAATAATTAATTAACTTATATAGTAATTCCAAGAAAAGCCTTTTGATTTATACCTGTCCAAGTATCTAAAGTAATAGAAAAGGTTCCTTGAGAATTAATATTCTCTTGTAATTCTTCTTTAATATTTAAACTCTTTTCTATATAGCTCAAATTAAGCTTGTCCTTAAGTGTTTTCTTATATAAAGGCGGTACTTGACTATAAAATATTAGCCTATATAATAATAATAATAATAATAATATAAGTACTTACTAATTTAAATATTTTAAAAGTACTTTAAAGCTCGGAGTAGTAACTGCTCGAAAAGAGATATTATTACTAATAATAAAGCTTAATAATAATCTCTTAAAGTGATTAATAGTAAAGCTATCTTCTCTTTGGCCCGATTGTCTATTAAAAAGACTATTTATAGTTGGTTGAGAGATTTGAGAAGAAGAAGCTTCGCTTTTACCTAATAAATAATTAGTAAATAATTAGTAAATAATTCTTTAAATAATATTAATTAACTTACTATTATTTCTACTATCGGAAAGAGTATTAAGATTAATAAATTTATGTGAGTTCCGAAAGTGAGCTAAATAATTACTTGTTTGACCGTATATTTGTTGATTTAGCCATGTTTTTCTAAAAAGTTAATTAATATTAAAACTATTAAAATTAAGATTATTAACTTACGAATAGCCTTGTACTAAGCACCTAATAGTACAAGTGCGAGCGTCTTCCGGGTTCTCTTGAATTGGATTTAAAGTCTTTTTTAAATATCCTTTTTTAAAGAGAAGAGGTTCTTTATCAAGGGATTTTAATATAAAATCAGGGTGATTTTGGCTTATATTAAGCTTAATCGAGGATGGTTGAGATATTTTCGAGTATGTAAAGTATATATAAAGGTATTTATAATATAAAGTATTATTGTGAGAGTAATAGTTGAAGATATATAAGTAATTATAAAAATAAAAAAAGCGAGAACTCGAGGAAAATAACCTGTTCTTATACAAAATTCTAATATTCTAAAGGCTTCTTAATTCTTCTTCTAATTAGAAAGAAATACTATATTTCGAAGGTTCTAGTTCTTTAATTTCTAATATATAGCTCTTATATTAGTAATATAATATAATATGTAAGCCATGGTAGTTCTGGAAGTATCGTGAAGGTTCTACCTCGCTTACCAAACCTCGCCACCACTTGATTGGGCAGTACAGTGGCGCTAGGCTCGGGCCACCCCGGAGCCTTACCAAATTAGGTTAGCCTATCACGTGTAACGTCACGTGTGGTATCACGTGCATACTACTCAACTACTCAAGAATATTCTTGAGTAGTTGAGTAGAGTATTGAGTAGAGTATGAGTAGTGAGAAAAAAACTTGAGTAGAGTATGAGTAGGGCCCACTACTCTACTCTACTCAACTCATTTCCCACACTGCATGCATCTCGGTCGAAGTATCTGATCCGCGCTTTCAACTGAACTGCACTGTGGAATTGTGTGCGTCACTTTATACGGGCCATTTTTGATAGAGTGCGCATAGTCGCCATTTCGGTGTGGTGTCCCACATTTGATCCAGATCTTCCCGGGAGTTACAAGTGTAGGATCCTCGCTACCCAATGAGTCCACGTAGACACTCCATCCCCAATTACTGTAGAGGAATGTATCATGCAAATCCACATCCTTCCTCCCGCAAAGGAGGCGAGCAATGAGCATATACCAGGTACGATGATCCACAGGAAGTGGGGATCGACCATCCCAATCCATGATACGCGTCGAGATGTGAATCTGATCCATCCCATCTGTCAATACGAGCGGTTTGGGAATCGGGCGCTATTTGGGCTAAGCGAGGGGCCCGATTGCTTAATCGTCTACTTAAGCGAGCTCCGGTTCATAAATCCGAGGTCGGATACGAGCGAATTTTGAAAATATCATAATATTTTCAAATTAATAAATTAATAAAATTCTATTAGTAGGATCTATTAAAAATGATTTAGTTAATAATACTATTTAAGTAATTTTAGCTAAAGCCTTTTATTAGAACTATATATAATTTTAATTATAAAATAGTTTTTTAAAATATATAATTATATAAATCTTTTTATCTTTAATAGAATTTAATCTAGGTAATACTCCTCTAAGTTTCTTATAAGCATTAATGTTTTTTATTTAATTAAAATTTAGCCTTTGCTTTTTATTAGAAAGTTATATATTATTTTAAAATTAGGCCTTTTTATTAGCGAATCGGGCCCCTCGCTTAGCCCAAATAGCGCCCGATTCCCAAACCGCTCGTATTGACAGATGGGATGGATCAAATCGCGTGGATATTTGTGAGAGGCCCCAAGACCAGCGATTCGCATTCGTTCAGATTTCCAACGGCAGAAAAGGCAAGGATGACCAGTGCCAAATCGTACGCTCTTGCACGAAGTAACTCCCAGGAAACGATAGTCTTTGTAAGGACTTGCAAGCTCGGTGGTGGACGAATTGCATCAATGCCTTGACCTTCATATGCATCTCGATAATATCGAGCCTTTCGCGGGTCGAAAAGTGTGTCCCCAAGGATGAATGCACTGGCCTTAAGGACATTGGAAATGTTGGAGGCACATGACATCCGCAGAAGCCTCTGATTGCTGCCCTCACCAGCCTCATCCATAATGTGCTCTGAGAATAGTAAAGCCATGCCGCTCGTGACATGGCCCATATCTATGCGTTCACTCTCGCCATCGAGTTTCTCTGCAAACATAGACTCCCCATATCCCCGAGCAGGAATCTTGAGATCCGCAACGATCTCCACCCCAGCTTCTTCATCGTCTCGCTGTATCTTAAGTCGAGGCATGGCCGTTGCATCCATGAGATAAATGCAAGGTTGTTCATTCTTGGAGACGGGCCTGTTACCAAAAGGAACAGCAGCTGAAGTCGTCTTAGGTGGCTCAAACACAATAATCACGTTGTGCTCACCGGCGCCAAAGGTGACAGTTCCATTTGGGCATCCTTCAATCCGGACAGTATGACCCAAGACATAGTGTGCCCAAAGAACCATAGTGCAGCATCCTCTACTGCCGTCGATGAACATAATATTGTCCTTGTACAAACTCTGCACAGCTGCCAACATGTCAAGAGATGCTTGTAGTAACGGTACACTCAAAGAGTAATAGTTGTTGTAATGCTCCGTATTTGTATAGAGATCGTTGGGTCCGGGAGGCCTGGGTAGGTTGTAATCGTTACCATATGGTACTCCAAGCGCTTGACTAATGTGCGCAAGGTATCCGTGCCACGGAAATGATGCCGTTTGTTCACTACAGGCAGTTAGGACTCCTGATAAAGAGTCCGGAGAGAACGTAGAATCTGATTCTGTAGGCGCTCCTCTTAAACGGAGTCGAAGAGCCTCAAAGAGTCCTTCCGACAACGATATTATCTCATGAGTTGCACACAACATCGACAACTGTACGACCATGGAGAAGTAAGCCTGGTTTCTTAATGCACGGCGGACTGTGGGGCCGGCTCCTCTCATGAAATAGATTGGCAAGGCTCGAAACGGCGAGGCCACATCCGTTGGCACAACTGCATGTTTGAACGTCTCCGCAAATTTTGCCTCAATTCGGTTTTGAAGAAACACCGTTGCGAGATCTTGCTCTACAACAATGTCGGAGCCGGATTTTCGAAGCTCGCGGGCGAAATCGACCACGTCATTGATGGCATTGGCGATTACTGGGACCAGCTCCGGTATCCTAGATAGTTCGAAAGAAAGCGAGAATTGTCCGGCGAGCGACATAGCTAAGTGATTACGTCAAAATGGTAAATATCACCCAAGAGTGTTGGGCGCGTTCACTCAAGAGGTTGACAGCCTTTCAATATTATGGAATGGCGAAGTGATGCCTAACGTGTTGGATTTAGCGATTCCCCTCATTTAGGTGGTCACGTGCATGGCTTCAGGTAACTCTATGGCAGCCAGCAAGGCTGTGCTGATAACCGCCAAGAACTGCGTTCTTGGTTATGTAACAATTTGGCGGTATATGGTATAATGGCGATTATCAGCACCTGAAACGAATTTCCAGTCAATAGGATGAATGGTGTCATCAATAAAACATGGCCTTAGGGCTTCACGCAGAACTTAATAGAGGAAATCGAGTATATTATTTATCAACTATAGAGAACAAAGCTGCGAGGGCATTCCAGCCTATATATGGTCTGTTTATGAGACGTGACTGAAACCGGAGTGTTTAGTGTTCCGAGTTCCTTAGGTCACTAGGTACTATTTCAACAGCCCCCCACGTCGACTAGTAGACTCTCACCCCCCTAACTAGATCCATAACCTGTTTTGTGCTTCCTATAACTGATTTGGGAGAGGGTTAAAAGAGGGCCCCCTGAGCATAATCCAGCTGACTCATCAGCGTGCACAAAGCACCAGGGGCTCAGGTTACTCATTCACGTTCCTACTAGCCGTCACTCCTAATTCCTCGAACACTTCTTCCTCGCACACTTCCTCCTCGAATATTCTTGTTCCAACTCCTTGGGAATTGCTCCCCCGAGAATTACTACCTTGAGAACTGCCACCTCTGATAGAGCCTCTGTTTGAGCTCCCTCCTTGAGAATCACCACCACCAGAACTGGAGCTTCTACTTGGGAGTCCTCCCCGAGAACGACTCGCTCCTAAGGAACTTCCCCTCGAGCTTTCGCCACCTTGAGAATTGGCTTTTCGAGGGTCGCCACGCCGCGAGGATCATTCCATTCAATTTCCTCCTCGGGAAACACCTCGTTGAGAATCAGCACCTCTACGAATATCACGGCACAAAGTGACGGGATTACAGGGCATTTGGGCCCTTGGCATCCCCCCAGGGCACAATTTAGGGGGTTAAGATCGCAGTAAAGCCCTATAGCTCCAGGCCATATACCCTAAACAAATATCAAGAGGCGCTATAAGACATTCGCAAGGTATAAAAAGATCTTTAGGAGTAAATAGTGCTACTAGCGGAGTAATGATAGCGCTTAGACGCTAAATAAGTTATTACTATAGGGCTTTTTAGCGAGGTACCCCTTATAAGTATAGGGGATAAGCGCCCTAAAAAGGTGTGGTATCCCTTGCTCTCGCCTTCTAGCGTATTTTTAGGGCAATGGCCTGGAATTATAAGGTAATTTAGTGACCGAGTACGCTAAAAATAAAAAAAAAGACACCCAAGTGCTGTTAAATCATAAATGCCCTGTAATCCCGTCACTTTTATGCCGTGATCTTCATAGAGCTACCTCCTTTAGAAATGTTTCCTTGCGAGCTAACCCCTCGAGATGAGCTCTCTCTTGTTGCTGGAGCGCTTCGAGTAATCTGCGAATTGGTTATCACGGTTTTCCTGATCACTTTGACAACAGGACGGGATGCTAAAGCTGAATCGGTTATCTAAGCCTAGAGTCATTCTTGAATTAGCAGATTTTAGCACATCCAGAAAGGGAAAGTGGAGAAACTTTCACCTTGAAAGGCCATAATCATCGAATCGCTAACATCAGGCTAGGAAGATCTCTAAGATACAGTATATCTAACTAATTCATGCTCCCTCGGTTCCTCATCCATTTTCCCACCCATATCCCAACCGATATCCCAACCTACCATGGTTCCATATCCAAATCTTAGTCCCGCCGTAGCCATGGTTCCCATGCCATCATCCACTCAGTTAGAAATCTCCTCCTTCGGCTCCTCCGTCAACTTCCCATCTTTCGAGAACCTATCATCCCTGTCAGCGCGCCCACCCCTCAGAAAACGCAAAACTCACCGCTTAACAACTCTCTCAATGCCATCCAACCCCATCTTCAGCGTCTCCATCTTCGGGCCATAGCTAAACCGCACGAAATGATGACAAGGACTATCAAACAGATCTCTCCTCTTGCTCGGATTCAAATCAAAGAAGATGCCCGGGACCACGATGACTTTCTCCTCAAGACACGCTTGGAAGAAGTTAAGCCCGTCAGAGATCTCTTCGGGGAGTTTTTCGAGGTCGAGCCAGAGGTAGAAGGTTGAGTCGGGCACGTTCTTGATGATGAAGCCCATGGCGCGGAGGCGCGAGATTACGTAGTCGCGTTTGTCCTTTATTGATAGTTAATTTTGTGGGGAGAGGGGTGAGGCGAGGCAGGGGAAAGGGGGCAACGTACCATAAAGTGACGCTGCAGAGCCTTCATCTCGTTGCGCACCTTGTTCGGCTCCAGCATCGCAACTGCAGCTTCCTGGAACGGCACATTCGCACCACCATCCAGATACGACCCACAGGATCCAATAGCCTTGATGAATTCTTTCGGGCCCACAATCCACGCGATTCTCCATCCCGGTAATCTAAATCGCTTCGTCAAGCCATCGATAATGAGCACATCGTCCTCATCCACATCCTCGATGTTCTCCGCCGAGGAGATGGTGGTACCGTCACAGTTAGACGTGTAGTTGTACCCACCGTAAAACTCATCCATAACAAGCGTAGCGCGGTCTCGGCAGATATTCTGGATCTCGGCGAGCTCTGGATTCTTGACTACTTTTCCCGTAGGGTTACGCGGGTTAGAAGTCAGAATGACGGAGGTACCGCGCGCGATTTCCTCCGCAATCTTGTCGGGGTGGATGTGATATCCATCCTCCTCTGACAGCGGAGAGGGGATGGCGGCGAACTGGGGGGATTAGTTAGCCCACCTGCATATCTGCCAAGAAAAGGGGTGCATGTTGATCTCCCGCCTCCTTTCCCCACAACCCCATAAACAAATCAAATCAAATCAAAAGCTGAAGGAAAACTTAACTTACGTTCTTGAAAAGAGACAACATTTCATTGTACGCCGTGTAATCCGGGATGAAGAATCCCAAGTACGCATTGTTCAACACGGCCGCAATGCGTATCAAGCCCGCGCGACCACCAGGGACAATACACACATTCTCCCACGAATACTGGCTCTCCTTGCCCTGTCTATGATGCGCATTATACAGATTGGCGACCGCAGCTCTCAGTGACTTAATCCCAGCCGTAGGGCCATATTCTCTGCCTGTCATCGAGACATCGATCGTATGGGGGCGCTCGAACGAGCCTTCGATCTCGTCATCGACCTCGGGAGCTCCTTGGCCCAGGTTTGCCCACTCGTCAGGGTTCTCAAGGAAGCCGTGCTCGTAGGCGCGTTCCGTACACCAAATTACACCGGTTGAAGCCCGTGTGGGGTCGAGACCGGCGTGCGACTTGTGGCCTTCGTGTGCGTTGCGGAATTGGCGGTGGATCTTGGAGTTGGTTTCTAGCTAGATTAGCAGCAGCAATACCCTCATTTTGTCCACGTCTATCTTCCATTCCTTCTTCTTTCCTTGGAATTGAATATCCGCAGATGAATTTGCAGACATATATTTTCTCATTGGCTGTTCCATTGTAGCTTTGGAAAGGGGTTTTATGCTCGAGGCCACGGTGATGCAAGTCACCATGACTACACAGACCCAAACACTCGAAAGAGAAGCAAACGTACCATTAGCACTTGGCTCATGCGTGCTGAACCTCCTCGCAATTTTGGTTGAGATCCGCGGGGCTCCCGTATTGCGATTCATGCTGAACTTGCGGTTGACGAATGCTCCTTGTAACGACATCTTTGCTGCCCGTGCGTTCGTGCTCTCTCTAATATGCGTGGGTCGAGCCCCCACGGCAAATGAGCTGATTGTTTCTTCGATGTATTAGAGAACACAGAAGGATTGCTGTCAGGAGATCAAAAGAGTGAAAGAGAAAACGCCCTGGCTTAATGCAGTGGAGAGGGGTGGTCAGGAGGGGGGGAGGGGAGAGCTGGAGCTGTGCCCCACTAGACGCTAGCGGTGAAGAAGCAACTCTCTTATCGATTGATTGCGACAGACAGGGCCCGCAAAAGCAAAGGTAGTTAGGGTCCAATGCTGCCCCACGGCTGCAAGTGTTCCGACTCACCTCTGTAATTGGAGCCACAAAAGCCATTCACGGGAAGTCGAGCCCAGTTGCCCAACGAGTACCCCCATTCCGATTCCCAAATGATTCACGAACGAATCGATTAATCAGATCCAGCTCGTGGCAAGGGATCTGAATCCCACGTGTTCAAATTTCTTTCTGACAACATGCATAAAGAAGCAGGGGAAGGTATAAGTGGGCTACGTCAAACTGACTCGTTCAGCTTCAATACAGTAATTCTACAGGTGGATCATCTACGGAACCGAACGAAAAATCAGGGGTCCATCAGAAAGCTTGTCCTTAGCTTATCTCGGCCGCGCTTTCGTCGTCCTCCAACATCTGCTTGAAAGAAAATGGCTCGAAAGGGATGCCATCTCCCATGAAATGCTTACTCATAGCCTCCACCCAGTGCAGACGCAAGCTGTGTAACATGGCACTCGTACCCTCCATAACCACCAACACTGCAATGGTCAGGAAAAACCATGCCCCGAATGTAACGACGAGTAAAACGACACCAATTGGGCCAGTGGAGCCCAACCCGATGGCCAATGTCATGGTCCAAAGCACGACGGAAAGTTGTTGATGGGCGAGGGATAGGGCCCAGAGACGCAGGTAAGAAGCGGTGTGAGAAACACAGTTCAAGCAAAATTCTGCATAATTAGCGAAAGTCGGTAAATCACGGTGACAGAGAAACTTACCGATGGTGTGGATGACTTGATGGATCATAACTTCACCGAACTCAAACTCCTCGTGCTCCTCATCCCCAATGTCTTGCGTGATCATGGCGACGCCTTCGCCTTCGCTGGCAAGGCTGTGCCTGCCATCCAAAGTGTTGGAATCATCGTCGTCGCCATCGAGCGCGCTGACTCGAGAGGTTTCGCCGATACCTCTATAGCCCTTTGCACGCGCTCGGTTATGCTCCCATCTCAGGTAAAATGGCTTCAAGAAAAGCAATATTGGGACTTGGATGACGGCGATCAGGACAAGGAACACCTGGATGGGGCCCTGGCCAGTGTACAGTTTCTCCTCAATCTTGCCGGGAGACAAAAACATGTAAATCAACATGTTCAAGAGCCCTGGGGCGGGCTCGCCAATCGCAATCCAATCGATGGACCATTTATATACGATCGTGAAGACGAGGTAGCCGAAGATTGCCTGGAAGAAGATCATACCTGGGACAAATACTCCCCAGATATCAATCGGCGTCTTGAAGTGCCGTGCGTTGATGTAGGAGAGACAGAGGGAATATGTCATGTGGCACCAACCCATCAGAATACTGAGCTTCATCTTATAACTGTTAGAGAAGAGTAAGTCGTTTTCAGTGCCGTGCCACATCCAGTCGAGACCAAATGGGTAGCGATAGCTACCTTTGCGGTGTGCTTCGACTGTCTGACCTTGTTCCCATCCGGGTGGCACTGTCCACTCCCAGGCGCTGGGGAAAATGGACAGCGATTTTGAGAAGACGTCGTTGTAGATGAGTCCAGTGTACATGGAGAAGATGCCCATCATCAACATGATATAGCGGCCGTAGAATGCCATTGAGAAAAGTTCATCGCGGACCTTCTTGAGCTTCTTCTCCCAGTATATCATAGCAGCAGCGGCGCAGACCATGAGGAAGCCGTGTCCGAAATCACCAAACATGACAGCGAAGAGAAATGGGAAGGTAACAATAGTTGGGAGACCGGGGTTGACCTCCTGGTATTTCGCAGTACCGTAAGCGTTGATGATAGTTTGGAAACCCTCAGTAAATCTATTAGTCTTCTGATATGTCGGCGGAGTCTTGTTCGTTCTAATTTCATTGATGATCGACGGGACAGAGAGACCGGCCCGATTGTTGACATCGTGAAGGGTCGACTTGATCACAGGTAGGGAGTTCGTTGGGCACCACGCCTCAGCAATCAGAGTCTTTCTGGCATGATCGTAGGAGAAGAGGTTGAGGGTCTGGTAAACAGCCTTCTCCTTCTTGATGATTATCATCCACGCAGCCAAGCTCTGGGCGATTTGAGTGAGCTCTGCATCCAAAGTGGTCTTGGTGTTGCGGAGAACGTTGCCAAGATCTCCAAGGCGAGTATTAACTTCGTGGATTTGGTCCCGGCGAAGGTCACTGTTCTCGTCCACGCTGTAAAGATCAGCGCCAAGTGACTCGGAAATCTTTCGGATCTTCGCAATGATCTCCTTTCCGTGTGCAAAAATGACGAAAACATTCTTGTTGACCTCCTCATTGTTCGTTGGGTCGATCAAAGGCTCTGGAATCTCCGACTGGTTCATGTATAGATTTCCTCGCAATGTCCGCCACAAGATACGCTCGAAGGCAGCAACTCGTTCCCGTGGGATAACACCTGCAACAAAGCCAATATTCATGACCGAGAAGGATCGTTCCGCATCTCCATTCTGGCCCTGGCCATGTTGTTCGACATCTTGCAGCAGAGGCGCATCATCGTTATCGGTGGAGGCTCGGATTTCCTCAACATTGCCATGGGCTCGATCGAAGAATCCTCCGGCCTCCCTCAGCACACATCGCCATTCAATCAATTCAACTTCACGCTTCTTCAAGGTCTCGTAGGAATCGTTCAAAGATGCCACACGCTGTTCGAGGGCCTGGCTTCGGTCGGCAAGCTCGTCGATTTCGGAGGCGGAAGGGGCAGCTAAGGTGTCCACATCAAGATCTATCTTGCGGAGAGGAATTCCAGCCTTTTCCATCTGCGAGTAAAAGTATCCTATCATTTTGTCAGCTTGCATTGGTTGTGTAGCTCGTATCGGCACATACGTAGCTGTCGTTCAACATTGTCGAGTCTTCTTATCTCCTGCGTAAAGGTTCGCTGGAAAGCAGTAACATCGGAGTTGAGCTATCAGAATCATCAGCGGAAGCTCTGCAACATGTTTGTATGCGTACATCTCGGAATTGGATCTGTCCCAGCTCTCCTAATGCATTCACAATCTCCCGACCGATTTCGTTGGCGATGTAGAGCTGGACCATGCTCATGTCCGCCGAGCGGAACATGGTATCCTGATGGTGCACCATAGCGAAGAAGAATGGGCTCTGTCCCAGATCCTCCAGCGATGGTTCGTGATGGCTTCACTCAGTGTCCCGGGGGAGGATGAGGACTGTGTTGAAGGTGTTGTTGCTGAAGGCACCAAGACTCGGTTGGTCGTCATGAAGCTGGCTTTGCTAGGGTCTTGATCACGTAAGCATCCGACCTGCCTCTGGTGCCTCAACTCCCATTAGACAGAAAAAGCGGCACTCATCTTGAAATCTTCCAAGCCAAGCTGGACGTTGCACTCTCTAAATGCACATATGCGTTATTATCTTCAAAGCCTCCTCTTTTCAAATATCTCAGAAATTGTAGAACGTGAGTTCCTGCCCCTCTCGAGTCTAGATGAAGGTACAACTTTGACTTGAATGAAATTTTGAAATTTGGTGCCGCTTTTTCTGTCCACCGCGAGCCCAGTTTTAATCCCATGCAGACCATCAACATCGACAAACTACAGCAACCCTGAGACGCACGAGTCATCATGGCCGAGCCAAGCATTTCTCTCGGTGCATACATTTGAGGCCCGACTCATCAAATTCGTTCCTCTGCCACTGCCCCAGATCCGCCCTAGTGCGCAGTCAATCAGCCTTCGATTCATACAGTACCAAGCTCAAGGTCACGGGAATATCGTGTCTTAGTTGTCCTCCCTGTTCTTTCACAAACCCAATGCTACCCACAATTGCCATTGGGCCAAAACACATCAACGCAATGTCTACTCTCACTCAATCTCTTCTTCGGGTCCTCTAGCCCTGCCTCCCACTTTGCACGCACCATCCCCTCACCACTTTTGTCTATGTTACACTCCCCAGAAAGCTCGGCAGCCCTTACGCCCTTTACAAGTCTCGAGATTACTACCTCAGCTTTGAGGCTAAAGAAGGACAAGCCACGAGTACATCGTAATCGGCCAGGCCGACAGAAGCAGCACATGCCCGCTTGGAAACCACTGCCAGCCAATCCCTCGAAATCGGAATTCATAGAATGATTCATAGGGGGCCTCAAAGACCTCATCACCGGGAAGCTCTTCACAATGGTAAATGCTGTGAGATGGGTGATATCATTGTTTTTTGCGAGAGTTGGATTGCGGTGAAGACGTATCCGAACATGACTGGTGACCAACGGAGATGAGCGCGATGGACATGTTTCCCGTTCATGGTGAGGTGGTAGGGAGGGTTTCCGGGCGAGTTGGGATTCAGGAAGGACGAGCCTACACAGAAGGAGTGGTAGGTCTCGGTCGTCAGATTGGGAGCGAACAACGGTATTTCTTCGATTTATGTCTAAGTCTAACGATCTTATTTGACATCTTACTTCTCAAGCGGTCTTCCGACCTGGTTTTTGCCCCTCGATCACGCTTGCAACATCCAACAGCATTGATGAGATCTCTATCCACAGATACCAACTTCTGCTACCGCCGAGGTAGAAGGTACTTGTCATCTGACAGCTTACGGCAGTTTTATTTGAGCGCCCAATTGTGTCCATTGGCCGTGTGTCGACTGCAATCGAAGACCCCAGCTGGGAGGTGCAATTGGAGGTTGATGTAAGCGCTAGTGCAATCCTAGATGTAGTGTGGCGGTGTGGTTGTGTGGTTGTCAGCATACACTACGTATGAAAGCTGAGAGGAAATAGACGAAAGTCATCTTGTCTGACTTTAGTAATTGCTGAAAAACGGATGCATATTGTGCCCAATTCGCAGTTTACTCATCTTAAGTCACAAGGACAGAGAAGTTGCCGCGTTGATTCACATGCTTACTACTTTGAAAGTCTTCCATACCTCAGCAGCTAAAATCTCTAGTCTTCGTTTGTGCATTATTCTTCCTTCCAGTGCATCTTCTACTCTGGATTCTTTCGTTTTTTTCCTTTTGCAATATCATCGCATCCAGCACATCAAGCCCTCCTAGATCACCATGGGTTCAATCGCACTCAACCCCTCAATCGAGCCTCCTCTGAAAGAGTCGTCCTTTGAGCTCCCTGCCGCATCTTACCCCTTACCGAGCGCTGCCCCGCTTCCTCAATCCGATGCTGAGCTCGATGGGATTGCAAGGAGTTGTATCGATAGCCTCAACTCCATGCTGGACATCAAAGATTATTCCCAGCTCATTTCTTTGATGGCATCGACAAGCTACTGGCGCGACCATCTCTGCCTCTCAAACACCAAATTCAGCACTCTATCCGGCGCGAAAGAGATCATCTCATTCATCAAGAAACCTGGCAAACAATGCAACATCAAAAGTTTCGCTTTGGGTGACAAGAAACCTGGAATCGCCAACGTTGATCCGATAGGAAAGATCAAATGCATCTTGGTCCATATTACGTTGCAGAACAAGATTGGGAACGGGAGAGGGATTATGCGGCTCATCCAAGATGTCGAGAATGGTGACGAATGGAGGATTTATACAATGTTTACAACCTTGAGGGACTTGACAGATACCCCATTTCTGACGGGAAGCAAGAGGCCTTTTCATGTGGCGCCGGAAGCTGCGGGAAATTTGAGCTGGGGAGAGTATCACGGACGGAAGAAGAATTTTATCGATCAAGAGCCAACTGTACTGATAGTTGGTGAGTGCTCAAATGCGGATTTGCGAATCTGAACCAAGACTTACGGTAAAATAGGAGCCGGGCACAGCGGCTTGATGACAGCTGCTAGACTCAGCATGCTTGCCGTGCCCACACTGGTAATTGACAAACAGATGAGAAGTGGAGATGCTTGGAGGCTGCGATACGATGACTTGGTCTTGCATGACTCTTGCTACTCCAATGCCATACCCTACTTCCCGTATCCTCCAACTTGGCCTGTGAGTGGTTAATATTCCATTTCTAATTCTACAGATACTGAACTGTTTCCATCTAGGTCCTGGCGCCGAAAGATAAAGTTGCAGATTTTCTGGAGGTAAGTTTTCCTCGCTGAGCTACAGAGGCTGACTTCTGCTAGTGCTATGAAGCTGCCCTGGATTTGAATGTGTGGAACGAAACTCATATCATCTCATCGAAATGGGAAGCAGACAAGAAGTGCTGGCTTGTCGAAGTAGAAAGATGCCAAGACGGCAAGAAAACAAGACGTAAGGACTTCGAGAATCTCTACTTATTACACAAAAAGTGCTCATATGGTTTCCAGGAACTCTTCATCCACGGCACATCGTTCAAGCAACCGGTCTGAACGGCGAACCCCGCATCCCTGAGATCCCCGGGATGGAAACGTTCGAGGGCAAAACGATGCATTCGAGTGGTTTCAAAGGAGGATCACCAGATTACAAGGGCAAGAAAGTCATCGTCGTCGGTTCCGGGAACTCCGCCCACGACATCTCCCAAGCATGCTGCAAAGCCGGGGCTTCAGTGACGATGATCCAACGCTCCCCAACCTTCGTCGTAAGCCTCGCACGCGTGCACAAGCTCCTCTCACTTCAATACAACGAACGCACCGTAAGTGTCTCCTCCCCTCTCTCCCCTTACCCACCTCCTCAACTCAGTTTCCTACAGCCCGCCGAAGATGCAGACATGATGTCCTTGTCCCTCCCCTCAACGCTCTTCCGCACCATCGGCGCCGATGCCCTATCCCTACTTTCCCACATGGACGCACCCCTCATCGCCTCCCTCTCCGCAGTCGGTTTCCGCCCCACGCCTCCAGACCCATACCTCAATATCCTGGTCCTGACCATCCAGCGCGCCGGCGGGTTTTACGTCAACATCGGCGCATCCGAGCTAATAGCCTCAGGCGCCATCTCCGTGAAATCATCCCCCGATCTCTCAATCACACGTATCAATCCGCACAGCATTGTTCTCTCTGATGAAGAAGAGATTGGCAATGTGGATGAGATTATCTTTGCAACGGGATATGAAAATGGCAGGGCGAGGACGAGGAAGGTGTTTGGTGATGAAGTCGCGGATGGAATTGAGAGTATTTGGGGCTTTGATGGCATGGGTGAGATTCGGGGTGTTTGGAGACGCGGTGGGCGGCCTGGGTTTTGGGTGGCGGCGGGAGCGTTTTGGATTAGTAGGTATTATTCTAGGTTGTTGGCACTTCAGATAAAGGCTATTGAGATGGGCTTGGTGGAGTTATGAAGTTGATGGAAAGGCTAGATGGGATGGCGTTGATTTGACTTAAGTCGTCTACAGGTGCTCTCAGTGTTCGATCCTGCCTGTGGACATTCAATATAACGAGTAGCTAATATCTATAAGGTGATATATTCAATCTGTGCGCAATCAGAACTGATTGTACCAAGGCATCCTGGGACATTGAGTCGATGTGCAACACATCACATTTTGAGCATTCACTATCATCCTATATCTTCAGATAAAAGGCACTTCACTACTTGTCTAATTATCGATAAACAGGTCTATGAGGTGCAATTGAATGTGTTTCCAAGCATTCACTGTCTTCCTATATCTCCAGATGAAAAGCAAGTTCTCGTTTGAACACCGGAGAAAACTCTGTATCCCCTTTGTATTCACTATCGTCCTATCTTCAAACAAAAATCACTTCTCGACTAGATATCGACGCAAAAGTCTGCGAAGTGAAAAGAAGAGGAATGAGCTCTTGATATCAGAGTCACATATAATGAACCAAGGATTCTAAGCTACACAAAGTGAACTCGATTATGAAAAGTCGGAGATGATCCAGATATAGTGGAAAATTCTTGCTTGATATAATTTCCCTAGTCCAGATCGAATCTTCAATTACTCAGTTTTGTTGCTACATCGCATTATATCAAGTTTTCCACCGCCCTCTCGTTGGTACACATAATGAGAGAGACATTAACTCAAGTTCGAAATTATGTCAGAGGATTTTTAATATGAATAAAACCACACATCTCTAGAAAAGATCCATGAGTGAATAGAATTCTCAACTTCGAGCTTTTGTTCGTTCATTACACATCGTACCAATGTCCGAAGCGGTTCTGATAAATGAGCGTCAGCATGGAGAATTGTACGAGATGAAAGGAAGCTGGCTTCTCCTAACAAGTTTCCTCGAGTGGAGCGAGAATCAACAATTTCGAGCTTGAGTCAATATCTGAGGTTGATTTGGGATATTGAAGTCGAATTCACTTTCCACCGAATGTTCCCAGAGTGTATCATTCACCTTGAGAACTTTTATTGGACATTGCGTTTCTCACCTTTGATGTCGAGCTCTCATCTCATGCTCATTGGCGATGGTTCTTGGGATTTCGATATAGCTTTTGTTGAGTTCGGCGCTCGTGAGTTGTCTGTGAGAGCTTGATGCGGAAAGATAGCAAAGATGAAAATTGGCAAGTGCAACAAACTTGCAGTTTCAATATTCACTCCAGCTGGGAAGTCTAACCAAGCTTTAGTCAGAGAATCGAGACAAGACATTGGCAAACATTCGAGTGTACCAGAACAGGTGGAACATTGAAGCGATCTGCAACAAAACCTTAATGGAGATTCACTCTGCCTTCGACCCACTCGTCGTGATCGCCCCTCCTTACTCTACTCGTTCGGCCGGGCTCACCTGGTTCTCGCTTAGCACGCTTACCAGGTGAGGGAGGGCAATACGCAAAAACCAGCAATACGCAAATCACCGCAAAAATTTGTATGGGGAAATTTGACACCCCCCGCAACTACGGATTTTTGGCTCTAAATTTTAGAGGGGAGAAGTTTTAGTATTAAGAAACTATTTCTACTTCTTAACGAGTTATTAATTACGTGCGGTTGCTCCCAAAATCATGCGCGAATAATTGATTTTTGGTGGGGTTTTACATTTGCGTATTGCTGGTTTTTGCGTATTGCCCTCCCTCACCTGGTAAGCGTGCTAAGCGAGAACCAGGTGAGCCCGGCCGAACGAGTAGTCTCAACTTGTCTCTTAACACACTTCCCCTCCTTCAAGTTGTTCTTCATCCCCCCCCTCCAACTCTATCCTTAGATGGAAGCACAACTACTTGCCGTTAAGTACATGGGATACAAAGTAACTCTTTACTGAATCAAGGGAGAAAACATAAATAGCGATCAGGAAAGATCACACTCATAACGCTGTGGCTTGGCTATCTATCCTACAGAACAGACTGCCTATTCCTCCTGCTTCCTCTCCTCACCCCTGTCCGCTAATCTCACCTCCCTTCCCCTATCACAAAACAAATGAAAGTATGCTACGGCAACCCTTGACGGGCCACCTACTAATGCTCGCAATGAAACAAAACTTCATTTTTTCATCCCACGGTGCACATGAAATCCGCTTCCAATAAACGCCGCCCTGAGCAGAGAATCCCCTCCCCTTCACGGTTCTCAAAAAGAGAAGAAAATCAGGCAATCGCACCCCCAGCCGGGCCCGCAGGGGGTTCCTTCTCGGCAGGCGGCTTCTCGCTCCCCGGGATGGGCGGGACCTCCGGCAGCGTCGTGCCACCCATCTGCCCCAGATCAGGGATCTTGATGGTGCCGGACGGCATGACCATCTTGCCCTCGAGCTTCTGGCCTTTGATGACCTTGAAGGCTTCGTCCTTGTTCAGGGACTCGTAGTCGATGAGGGCTTTGGCGAGGAGGTCGAGCTCCTTGCGCTTGTTTTGCAGGAGCTCGGTCGTGCGGATGCGGCCTTCTTCGATGAGGCGGCGGACTTCTTGCTCGATGAGCTCTTTAGTGGTGGTGGAGAGCTTGCCGTAGTTGGATGCTAGGTCGACGTTGCCGAGTTTGTCGGACATGCCGTATTGTGTTACCATAGCGTAGGCAACTCGAGTTGCATTTTGGAGATCCTGTGGATGGTTTAGTATTTGTGGGAAGTGGGAGGAGGTGGAGGGGACAACTTACAGATGAGGCGCCGCTTGTGACTTGGTCGGGACCGTAAATGAGCTCCTCGGCGACCTTCCCTCCTAAGCACACATCGATCTGGGCCTTCATCTCATTCATACTTGTAGAGTACTTGTCCATCTCAGGAAGATGCATTGTCATACCAAGTGATGCACCTCGTGGCATGATGGTAACCTTGTGCAAAGGATTCGTCCCCGGTGTGAACATGATAGCCAATGCATGGCCGGCCTCATGATATGCTGTCATCTCCTTCTCCTTCTCAGACATGACCATACTCTTTCTCTCCGCTCCCATCATTACTTTATCTTTTGCCCACTCAAAGTCAAACATTGAAACTGCTTGAGCTTTGGCTTTGCTAGCATGGACAGCAGCCTGATTGATGATGTTCTCCAACTCCGCTCCAGAGAAGCCAGGGGTACCAGCTGCGAGTGCCTCGAGGCTGACATCTTTCGCTGCAACGACCTTCTTCATATGATGTGCAAGAATCGCCATGCGGCCACGGACATCAGGAAGACCAACCACAACATTTCGGTCGAAACGACCAGGTCGAGTCAAAGCCTTGTCCAGCATCTCTGGGAAGTTAGTGGCAGCCAAGATGATGACTCCGCTATTTTGCTCGAAACCATCCAGTTCGGTGAGCAGCTGGTTGAGCGTTTGTTTGACATATGCAGCATCCCTGGCGTTTCGTTTGCCTCCAATGGCGTCGAGTTCGTCGATGAAAACAATAGCAGGGGATTTGCCTTTTGCAGCAGAGAACAGATCTCGGACTCTCTTGGCGCCAACTCCAACGTAGACTTCATCAAACTCACTACCAGACATGAAGAAGAACGGGACACCAGCTTCTCCAGCAACAGCTCGAGCGAGGAGAGTCTTTCCGGTTCCAGGCGGGCCAACAAGTAGAACACCCTTCGGGAGCTTCCCACCAAGGGTAGAGAATTTCTCCGGGTTCTTCAAGAACTCGACCAGTTCCTGTAATTCCTCCTTTGCCTCATCACACCCATGAACATCAGAGAAGCGAACAGTCTGATGTTCCGCCTTCGCCTCATTCTCAGCTTTCCCTCCCACCTTTCTAAACGTCTGGAAGGTCTCGATGACCATTGCCACAACTACCAAGGACAGGTATGTGAAGAGGCCAAAGTAAAGGAAGAACTTGACCCATTTGAAGATCTGTCCGGAGATGGTCTCTTCGACAACGACGTGAAGAGGGCTGTCCTTCGCACCACTCCCAACATTTGGTCCTCGAGAGACAGCTACATTGCCGCCACGAGAGGAAGCAGCAACTGCTTGTCCAATAGCCTGCAGCTGGGCATTGGTGAGATTGCCAGTCTGAGCTTCAACCTGTGGTTTCGCAGCAGCCCCACTTTCAGATTGGGTGACCGAGCCTAGAGCCCGATGATATAAATTCTCACAAGCCGTGTTCGTAGCAAATTGATTCGTCTGATATCTCTCGACTATTATCGCAGGCATGTTGGCCCTGGTCAATGCCTGGTAGAAAGCGTATTGCGAGGTGGCACTATTCGGATTCTTGTTGGCCGTTTCCTCCAGATGCGCTAAAATGCTTCTCGACGTCGTCCCCCCAAACAATGTTCTCTTCTGCGATTCTCCGGTATTCTTGAGCAACAGATCAGGTTGTTGGAATCGTGGGCGTAACGCAGTTGACATTTGCCGGCTCTGTGAAGGAAACATGTATGCGCGCCGGGCGATCGGGTTCGCAGCGCTCAATGCACCTTTCGGCATCGAATGAAGTGTATTTTGAATACCAAAAGGCGTCTGAGGTACTAACCTAGGTGTCATGGTGGAAGAAAATGACGAGGGTAGGTCGCGCAGGCACTCTAGGAGTTCTAACTTAGAAGGCTACAAGTGGCGTTAGCGATGGTGAGCCTCCCAGGATAAGAGGAAGAACATGCCTTTGGCACAGCAGATAGCACCGGAGAGGATTGCGGTATCCGTCGCTCTTGAACCTTCCGCGGACTCGACTGTGGCGTGCTCTGCGTCATTGTACCTAAGACCCTCCACGGTCCCGACATCGCATTTGATACTGAAGGCCACATCTCGGTGGTCGCTGCCGCGATACCCTACATGCCAGATGTCAGCAAAGCCCTCTCCTTCCCCTCGAACACTTCTTACAGGCAGCGCAGATGTTTGGAAAGCCATGGTTGGTAATGGACCCGATCTCAACCAGCAGTCCTCCCACGCCTCAGGGACCCTCGGGCGGCACTCCTATGATGAAAAGATATGAAATGCAGTAAGGAATGTCTGCGAGTGATCTATGGACCTCGGGCTGAGGGGTGTGTTGTCTACAGGTCCAGACGCGATGATGTTGGACAACGGATGATGCTCGATCTGGATTGCAGATGTTGAACATTCGAACTTCGGTAAATGAACTAACTAGGATGGTACTAGCTAGAAAGCTTAACGCCGACCTTCGAAGACTTCCCTCGCTCCCACCTATCGGGCCCAGCGAATTGGAAATGCGTATGCATTTGTGATTAAGGTTATTTCAAGGGCCGGCGAAGATGGCCAGGGCTAAAGAGAGAGCTTATCATGCCAAATATGCCTTTATTTGCATTATTTGCAATCGATAGGAACGTTTTCCAGTCACGTGCCTATCACATTGCAAAAGATCACCAATTCAAAGACAAGAGATAATTCGTACTGCCTTTTATTGCTGCTACAGATACATGTAAGTTCCCTATATAACCAACCAACCAGCCATTTCAATAATTAACAATTGCCCATCGATCGCGACTGACTATAATGTTACATGGTGCTCATTCGTTCAAACATCATCCCCATTCCCCGAATCTCCAATCAAACTTCAATTGAAAAAGCCAACCGAACACTCAACCCGCCAACCCCATCCCAATGCAGGACATACAGAATACAATAGAAAATCGCAAGAAACTCTCGTCCGTTGTTCTTCTCGTGACCCCGTAAGGCAACCTCATTACTGCGTATGCTCAACAAGCATCAATTACATTCGATATGAGTGAAACCGCCCCTTGAAACTTGAAAGAAATGGAGAACGGTAATTGACTTGCGCAAGGGAAAAATATATAGTTTCAAACGACCTCGCCAGAAGGGAACAAGCAAAAAGCCGCCCCGCCCCGTGAGGGATGGCTCTCGAACAGTACAGACAGTGCAGTGATGGTGGCGGTGTGGTTGAGGGTATGTGGTATGTGCGTCGTTGAATCGTGTCGGGTATTTGGCGATGATATTGGGTGTGCGATCGTGACTCGTCGAAATTACAGCGGATGAGCTCGAAAGGTACAAATGAACTTGCTTGCTTTTTTACTTGTGTTTTTGAGGGTATGGTGGAGTGCGTGGTGCTGTGGTCCCGCAGGCTCTCCGGGTATAATAAGCTGGCTTGTATACTGGTACAGTTCGCTGAAGTGGCGAAACAAAGGAGACTGGTTATCCAATGGATGCGTGCCGAAACATTATTACTGTACGATGAGAAGATTACAGGTTTTCGATGCGGGCGCTCGGCATCTGAAGGGATGGGTCGTCGAAGGCCTCGATTTTTTGCACCCAGGGGTCGTGGAAGACATGGGCTTGGGGATATGCCTGGATGTGGCTGATGACTTCAACGGGAGCTTGGTAGGCAACGTTCTCGTACCATTGTCCTTCTTGTGATCCGGCGGGATGGTATTGCTCTTGCGCGTGGGGCGCTTGAGAGATGGGTGTTGGCATTGGCTGAGATTGTTGTTGTGCCAAATGTTGTGGCATCTGTTGTTGATATTGAATCATCGGTCCCTGCTGCTCAATTGGCGAAGAGTTGTGTAGAGCATATGTTGCTGCTTGGGCGGCGGGGTGGTGTGTGTAAAATGGCTCTTGGGAAACGGGGCTCGCTCTTGAAGCTGATGAGTAGCTGCTTGGGCTGCTCTGGAGGATCTCCTGTCTGTCCACCTGGCGAGGAATTTGGTAAGTCTGGATTGGAGTCGGGTTCGTGTTCAAAGTTGCTACACCTGGGTTGTTCTGCTCGGGAACGTAGTATGAGGCGTGAGCGGGAAGGCTGGGTGCCCGATGCATCATCGGGTTTGGGAGACCATGTTCAACAATGGAACCATTGTAGTTCTGAGCGCCGCCGGAGAGGCTGTGTCGGTGACCATAACCTTGTTGCATTGGATACCCATCGATCTGATGATGACCAAAGTCGGCAAAGGAATGTGCTCGATGCATGTGGTGCCCATTTGGCATCACATGTGCTGAGGCCGGGACGCTCTGAGGCCATTGCATTTGACTGGAGTGCTGCGGCGTGGATGGAGATTCACCACTGTCTGATTCAGAGGTCTCACCATCGTCTATTTCGGAAGAATGGATGCCTCGTTGGTGGGATCGTCGTTGGTGCTTGACCATTGTTGTTTTCCTGCAAAAGCTAGCCAAGTGGTCAGCGGGATTCAAGCTAATTTCTTTCCCCAACGAACCTCTTTAAACACCCTTCGTGCGCACATTTATACGGACGCTTCCCCGTGTGAATACGGCGGTGGCGGGCGAGACTGGAAGACTTGTGTGTGTCAGTACTGGTTCTTGGCCGTCTTGAGGGGAGAATACTCACATCAGAGAATCGCTTTCCACACCCGATATGTTGGCACTGATGTGGCTTCTCACCGGTGTGAGTACGGATGTGAACGGTCAACGCACTCCTCTGGATGAAGCTCTTGCCGCACCCTGGTGTCATGCATGAGTACGGTCTTTCATTTGTGTGGATTCGGTAATGTCTTTGAAGGTCAGATTTCCGGTTGAAACTCTAGAGCAGGGTGTTAGTTGACGCCGCCATATCAAAGTCCACTTCATTGCTTACTTTATTGCAAGTTTGCCAGTCACACTGGAAAGGTCTTGCGTTAGGCTCATTCTCTACCAGCTCCATGACGTCCATTCTGATTTTGTTTACTACTCTTGATGGCTCAAGTGGATAGATCGAGCGGGAGTAAGATAAAAGGAAAGGAGGGGCTGAATATCGGAAGACGGGAGATCTGTCGAGTGCCAGAGAGATATTGAAGCCAGGCCAGGGATGGATGGAGGTCTCGAGATGGGCTGTGGCAAGTTTGACGTCCTCAGGATGGAAGAGGAGACTCTGATGAACCAGGGCAAGGAACTGTGCAGGTGCAAGAAGACTAATGCGCCGCACAAGTCGACCCGGAGGTGATTATATTGAGAGAACGAGAAGCGTCCAGCGCAGTGCTGAGAGGGAGCAGACTATGGAACGTTCTTCGATGAGTTGATATGGAAGTCTGTGACTGTGGAGATGCCAATATACAGAACAGTCAAGAATTCCAAGGTTGAAGGGAAAGATCTGAGGAAGTCAGAATCTGGTGTGATGAGGTTCATGAGATGTAAGAGAGGGGGGGGCGGAGTGGTTTACATACCCCCGAACTGCTTGCATATAACTGGATGGATGGCTCCGGGATAATGCTCGAATAGGGTTTGGCGGGGCGCACGAGCAATAAAGATCTCTCTGCCCACGTTGTTGAGATTGCCTCCGACTTAAGGTACTGCCTTGGCCTAGCTTCAGAGGTCGCTTGATGCGAGTGGCTGAGGAACAGATGCCCTAAGAAAAGAAAAAGAAGAGTTCTCGGGAGTCGGAGCGTGACAGACTAGCCGTCAATCGTAAGACTCGGGGGTGGGGACGGGGTCTGCTTGTTTCGACGTCCAAGTTCCTGGTCAACCAGTGTGTGTTAGGTTTCCGAAACAGGGACCATTCTTGAAGGGCGAAGTTCGTTAGAATCGGTGGCTGAGGTGATCGTCGAGCCTCTGAGCGCAGGGACGTTGAAGGCCTCGGATTCCGGCAGGATGATGGCAGACGGTTTATATCTCAGGGCGGAAAGCAGGCTGGTCTTCCAAGTGGCGTTTCCAGGGCTCAATGCTATTGCAATACGATCTTGTGGCAACGGCGTCGAGTACGCCTTGACTCGGGGGTGTCAGTTAGCCTGATGGGAAGAGAAGCGCTGGTAGATGCGTTCAGAAGCTTGAGCGTCGAGTCCAGGGACGTGATGATGCGATAATAGTAGAACAAAGATGCCGTCCCAGATGCTGAATGAAGTAGAAGTAGAGAGTAGTCCTGACTCAAGCGCGGTCGAAGTAGTAGTGTCGGACGAAAGAGACCTGCGGCCGATAGATAGAGTTTGCCTGACCCTATATGTGATAATGAGACTGGGAGAGGAGAGCAGCTCAGTTCAGTTCAGTTCAGTTCAGTTCAGCAGTCCGGAGGCGTGGTGGAGTCTTGCGTCTGAGGGTCTGGTCTTTCTTGTAAATAACGAGTGGAAGTGGGGTCCCACACATTTTGACTCGTCAATCAGGTACAATTCCGTAGCTCGACGTCCTAGGGATCGCTTGATGATAATGGCGGCGGAGGAGCAGGGGGTGCTGGAGAGGAAGCTATTCTCGATCAAGCTTAAACCCCAGATATTCATTCGATTTAGCCGTTCACGAGGCAAGGTTGGCGCAGGACTATGCCATTGGGCTGATCAGGGGGGCCTTTTTGCTCGGGGGTACTGTGCAGGGGAAGGCGAGGGCTGCTGCGTAGCTTGCCGGGGTCGGGGTCAGGGATGGGCCCAGTGGAACGCTGAGCTGGTGGCCTTGTCAACGGCAGACAAAGACGGGGCGGGGCGGGGGCTAATAGCGCATGCAAAGTGGGCTGCGGGCATGGTTCAGGACTACCGTAGTGAAGGTATCGAAACACCTGCTACGGTAGTCGAGAATACGCAGCCGTCCTGTAAATGAATGAATGTCTGCGTCCGCTGCTGATGCCGCTGCTACAGGCCCGTCCGTGTGCTCGGAGCAGAGAGAGGTATGCGCGCCGCGCCGCCGTGGTGGGGAAGGAACAGGACGGGCGGGTCAGGTCAGGTAGGGTTCTGCCGCTGTGCGTAGGAAAAAGGAAAGGAAAGGGAGAGGAGAGGGCAAAGGACACAAAAAGCCCAAAAGCCCAAAGACACTGACTGGTACATTGAGTTGCCCTCCCGGTTTGGCTGTGCCACCCTCCACACGCTTCACACCTACACTTCACACTTAATTCACACTTCACACCTCACACCTCACACCCACACCTCACACTCCACACTTCACACTTCACACTTCACACCTCACACTTCACACCACCACTACCACCACAACCAACACGGCGAGGGCCCCCGGCTGCTCAGGGACAAGCTCCTCTCATCCCTGGCCGCCTCCCTGGCTACTCCCTTGTCCTCAGCGACCTCCGCGGCCTTCGGGGGGGGGTGGTGCCCCCTGCTGCTCGCAAGGGCCTGCCCTGGCAGAACGTGAACCTCCCAACCTCCTAGGTGCGCAGCGACCCTGAACGGGGCCAGGATGCTCATCTTCCTCTGGCTTGCTTGGTGGGGCAGTCACGTTTCGATTGGTACAGGGCCTGCTCACAGGGGTTCGCCAAACCCCCTGCAGCTCCGGATCTCGCAACGGCACGCTTCTCTTCCTCTCAGTCCACACAACAGTGACAGGACGTCTGGCTCCGACTGGCGCTGAAAAATCCCTACTGCTGCTCTCGGCACTCTCGCCGACGAGCTCCGTAAATGGTGTCTAGGCCTAGAGCTACGGAGTATTGTCTCGTCGCTGGATCTAAATGCCGGAGCATGGCCTGTAAGTCGATATCAATACCTCCGCCCCTCGTGCGGCCTCGTGCGGATGGCCAGGCTTGTATCAAAGCACAACACTGGTAGGGGAGGAACGGCTCGATACCGAGATCGCGGTGATCAAGATAAAATAGCTTGCAACTCTGGACCTGGGCCATTGCTCATGGCGGACGGCTGAGAGGATCGTCCGCTCCCTCGTTGCATCAAGATTCCCAGAATCCCAGATTGGCATACCAGATGGGGATTGACGATCAAAAGGGGAGGCGTCAAAGACACTCATTTTAAATCCTGGCAGCCCCTCCAAAAGCGTCTAACGGAGGGCAGCAAGACAAGGCCGACTTTTACGAAATGTGAGGCTGCATGTTACTTCAAGATGTGATCATGCAACCGGGTTCAGATCGCAATTCTCGAGCTGCTATTGGTCCCTGAACGTCAACCATTATGAGAATGTGGTGATGAATGTCCAATGCAGATGCTGGTCTGCGAGAATCGGAATGCCATACTAGGCATCCCTCGATAATGCGTGCAAGACTGGGGCGATAGTGATTGACTAGACCCCTCCTTCTCAAGAGACCTCACCTCACGGTCTCTGTCCGTCTACTTCATGCTCGCAGAATCGTGTTCGCCAATCTCACTGCAAAAGCACAACATCAGTGGGCCAAGTGGAGGCCAAAGTCTCAAAGTCTATTCAACCTTCTCGACGCTCAGCCGCACGTCACCGGTCTGCCATCCATCATCAGAGGTAAGCTGATGATGGTGAGGGGCAAAGGGACGTTCGCAAGGCTGCGCCCTCCTGCTGCATCTGGCTGCGAAGACGGCCTTGGGGGGGGTGTTTCTTTTGGTGGAAGTGAAGCGTGGAAGTTGCTGCTGAATCACACAAAGTTCGGACAATCCCGTTCCACGCCTCAGCCGACACACTGTTACAACCTGAATCCACGACTGTGGAGTCCTCAGGTTCCTCCACCGCGCAGGTTTGGTGGGATGATACAAGACAGGCCTCTGGCTACCAGTACAGTACTCCTATTATTCCGGGTCCTTCGGATCAGTGACGAGTCGGCGTGCTTGATTCAAATGCGTGCCTCCCCCTCCCCCTCTGGGCTCTCGGAAGCTCCCCAAGCGAAGCGTGCCGCGCAGACGCTACAGTACGGGCAGGCCGGCGATCCCTGTCAGCAGCATCCATGTCACCTCGAGACGACAGAGACACGGAGCCACGAGAGAGAGGGAAAGCGCAAGAGTAAGAGGAAGGAGAAGCTGAGACTACAGCAGCAGCAGCGGGAGATCCAGCAAGTTACGTTTAGCAAGACCAACAAGTCAAGTCGTTTGGGCCTTGCCACTCCGTCCTCCGTCCTGACCGCGGCAGCGAGCTTCCAGAAGGTGTCCGCAACCCACCTTGAAGAGAACAGGAAGAAACACGGCTGCATCGGAGTACTAGTATCTGAGACAACGGCGATTGCTTTCCCCATCCTGATCCTGCTCCTGCCGGATGCCCCACCAAACCAACGGGCAGCCACAGGTCCCAAGTGAAAGAGTGTGCAAGCCACATGTAATCCTGCATGCCTGTCCTTGGTGGATCCCTTGTGGACCCTTCCTTGGCGATGAGGCCTCCAACAGCTACTAACCTACCATGGCACAGACTGCTGGGGAACTACATACGGAGGTACAGCCCATAAGTATTACGACGCCACTTGCAGGGATCTCAATTTTACCACCTAATGTTACAACCACAACGCACCACCAAAGCACAAAAAATAGATTGATGTATAGATCCCCTCTTAGGGATCATTTTAGTGTTTAAATAAAGGCTTTTGGTTGTGTATAGGAAAAGTTATGAGTGTTGAAATCGCGTGTGGCGTTCAGACCCTTGTAGTGGCGTCGTAATACTTATGGGCTGTACCTCCGTATTGTAGATTTGCAAGGTAGCCGGGGACAGGTCGTAATCGTACTCACAATCCTCCCTATCGCGCTGCCCCTCATTGCACCCCTCTCTGGCTCCTTCATTGCGGCGTTGACATCGTGCAGACTCCTCGTCCGCTGCAGAAACGTCAAACGGTCACAACGATTTTATCATCAACAGGCTCATCACACTTATCACCCGTCAGCCAGGAGTCCCAAAGAGACAATCCGGGAACGCCATGCCACCTTGCGAGCAGGACATTCCGATGTCACAGCGCCTTCTGCGCGGTGACAGGCACAATCTGCAGTTTTTATCTACGATGCAACATTTGCTCCTAGCGAGCTGCATCTCCAGCGCTACGCACCATATTCGGACGATTCTATGGAGTTCCTGCAGCTCCAACGCGCGCCTTTCCACCATGGGCCACCGCATCGCTGCACGATGTGGTGGACGTGTGTCGCAAAAGCACATCTCTGGAAGAAAATGCCCGGTCACCACGAACACCTCGAAGAAATCGTTAACGACTTTCACCTCTTCGAGTGCTCGTGCCGCTACGAAACATTTGATGAGTGTGAAACAATCTCACACGGCCCTGCAGCCCAAGTCACTAAAGTCGGGATTGACATCCAGCTAAGGAACGTGGGTTCTATTCTTGGACGGATGGCGTATTCCACCATCTCGCATCCCCAAATTTGAGAACAGCAGCCCGTCTCTCATCGCCCTCTCCGATCCTCTCGCCGTCGCCACCCTCGGGAGACCCTTGGGATTGGAATTTTGAAACATAATCGAAACGGGCTGCTCTGCTCGCTTGCTCCTGATCATCCGTTAGCCTCTCCGCGTCATCTTCACCCGGTTCGGATGAACATCCTATTCTAGAATGGCCTACTGCATCCAAGATCTTCCTGGACTCGACCGTGGCCACCTGCTGACCACAAGATTTCACTCCAAGAGGGGGAGGAGCTTTATCTTGATGGCACGCTGGATCTATTGCCTACAGATCGTACCTGGAATGACGAGTCTTGAGATCTCATTATGCGGCAATCTTCAACTGAGTCCATGGCCCAAGTGGGGCCTCTATTTCTTCCTCCTGAATGCGGCACACAAGCACATCATCAAAAGATTCGGTTCTCGAGTTCTGTGTGCCATTGCGTTGGCTAGGCACATGACGCTTTTCTCAACCTTTCTCCTGCCTCGTTCTCTACAATGAGCTGCTTCTGGGCACACCGACATTTTTGGCCAGACTTGACTGCTTGCCTCTCCCGTCCAGACTTCAGTATCACCAAGTACATTGCATTCTTTACCAGGCTCTGCGGCACTCATGCAAACAGCATCTAACATTGCCAATCTGCTGTCAACTCGACAGCTGTCCATTGGCCCCACTACACGGACCAAGAGTTCGCGGTTTCTTGTCTAATTATTACAAATAGATTCTCAAACAAACGTCAAACCGTCAGTATGAATGTTGGGCTGCTAGTGGCTCGCTTTGGCTGAAATGCCAGTCTCGTTCGACCTTCTTCCTGCCATGCAGAGCCGTCACAGTCAACCTACATAGGCTGAATACGGGCCACATGAACTTTGCCCTCGTGAGTGAAGTGGACCGTGCCTGGTGGCTAGGAGTTGGAGGTTGAGATTTTACTCTTACCCCACAATCTCGGCCTCTGAGGCTCTTCTGACGGGTCATTCGTTTGGTCCCTGGATCTGGTAATAGCACAAAAGTTTTTTGGCTGCAGTATCTGAGGCCAGACGATATGCACAACACTGGTCTCAACACTTCCTGAGCCTGCCTTCAGGCAAAAGTTTGGTAACGGTCCAGGACGTTGGACAGTGGTGCCCTTCCAACGGATAGCGGGGATTATTCTGAAAAGGATGTCCACGCAACAAAACCGGCTAGACAGAAGAACTTTTCTGCTCATATCACACCACTTGGCCACCACCGTGATCCTGCAACGCCATTCGGACGTCTGTCCCAAAAGGGCGTGGGGGAGTTGAGAGCAGACTGCCTCATTTTCGCAATCTGAGGATGATCCTCTGGTGGATCAACACCCCTCAGAAAGCCAAGCCAAATGGCGGCGCTCGTTCGGGACTCGGGATATTGTCACTCGAGTTAACGTTTTTTTGCGCGCGAAGTCGCCTACATACCATGTGGTTGCGGCAGACGTCTGAGCGCTGCGCTCGGACCTCTCCTGACGACACTGCCGACGCGGGGCATTTCGCCCTTCGCAAACCGCAATCCGCAGACCGCACCGCAAGTCGAGGCTTCGGGGCGGTATTGATAGCTTCAGCGTTGTTAGGTCAAGTCTCTCTGCGTCTGCCGGAGGGGGATCGCCTTCCCCACACTTCCAGCCCTGGTCCAGCGGCCGTGGCTTCAAGCCATGCTGATTTCGTATCGAAGATACAAAGAGGTCACCTGCGGTATCGAGAGATCTGCATAACGAGGCAATCGATTTCAATTATTGACGCACAAGCTTCCTCTGTTAGCTGGTAGTTTGGTAGCTGTTCCCCACGAAAGATGCAAGCCTCAATTGGAAGGTTGACCAGAACTTTGCAACAGTTCATGCAGTGCACAAAGTAAGCTGCACAAAGCAGGGCCAGGGGTAATATGCATGTGCACAGTCGCTGCGGTATCCTGGTCGGAGATACTGCACGGGTGACAATGGTCTCTTCCGGCATATATGGCTGATAAACCTGGCCGTCCACCTCGAACTGACCAGAGCCATAGTGTTTCAGTGATATCCGGGGACGGCAAAACCGCGGCCACGCCTGTTTATCAGTTTCCGATTCATGATAAAGTCGGGACCGCACCGAGAGACGGGAGATGGTAAAGTCTAACGAGCTGAATAGCAGCTTCGGTTGATCGAGCCGATTCGCGAGAAAGCCAAAGTCCTGTCGCATAATAATCAGACACTAGCGGCTGGGCATCTAGCAGCGAGCACAGATACGATACTCCACAGAACTTTCTGGCTAGGTCAGGGGGATGGCCTTGGACTAGCAACCGCAAGCCAAGGGAAGTCTGTGAAACGCCTATCACCAGCATATCTTATCGGGACTTCCTCCAGGCTGGCTGTGGCAAGCGTCGTCGGTTGTCGAGTTGCAGTGCTGAATTGAATGAATACCGGTCTCTCAAGGGTGATTGACACAAGGAACGTGGAGTGTAATATGTTACGGCAGATTCGGTGGCCCAACCCCACTACTGTACCCCTCCAGAGACCCTGGAATGGCGGGGCGGATAGTGCTGTCCGACAACTTCGTTTCACGGACCATGCGCTTACTGTCCATGTACCTCTTCGGAAATTCGGAAACCGTTCACCTCGACATCCTGACGACCGGCCCGCACATCTCACGAAGGAATGTGATGTGATTGTGATGAGCAACTACGTCTGGAGCCCTGATGTTGGAGTAAGACCCACGTCGGGATGGAATAGAAGAGTCGAATAAACATTGCTGCTCATCGGCACTTTGGAGCTGGCGGCGGAAAGTGGCTTGCGAGGAGTAGCGTCTCTGGTTGACATCCAACAGTGATCTGATGAAAGGTTGTCACAATCAACGTCGAGGAGTAACTATTCAAGATTGTAGCTCCTTCCTCTGCCTCTCCTTCATGACTCGTTATCGGCACCCCTATCTAATTTCCCGACATTCGAGGTCTCGATAGACCTTCAACCTTGACTTTCACACTATGGAAGATCTTCGGACCTTGCTCAGCAGACATGCAATATTGCTATTCCTATCTCATAATACAAGCATCAATCAACACCGGCGACGGCTAACCCAACTTTGAAGCAGAGCCGTTGCCATGATGCGGACCTGCCCGCTTGGTTTGAGTTAAGCTTCACGATGCACTCGATGTGCTGCATCATCCGCACCCTTATCTGAAGGAAGCTACGGGGGAAAAAAATCTGCTGTCCCACAATTCTCGGAGAATAGGATCCTTTTGTTTCTTTTCCCGTCGTTCGTGTGTTCTGGCCCTTCTCCACCCCTCCACAAGCATCGAAACCTTATCGCCAGCGTTTGGTATATGCCGAGAGTTGGTTTGGTGTCGAACGTACGCCGCCTCCGATCATATTGCCACTCGCTGTCTTATGCGTTGATCGACTATTGACGAGGTGACTTTACACATTCCACAACAGTCTGGGGTATGCAGTAGCATGCAGGTCGGTATAGAAACCACGTTTGTGTGGGTGAGCCGTGGGTAGCACTCGTTGAAGGCCGGGGTGAGATCTTGGGATTAATGTTCGAGCTGCCTCAATTTGGGAGTGCACACTGAACCAAACAGGTGGGGAACGGCAACACACTCGACGTTCAGGATAGGGAGCGCTTGCTGCGGCCTCCTATTTCCTGTTCCTGGGCCGATCGAAGCTGGATGCACAATGCACGCACGACAGTGCAGGGTCCCGAGTCATGGCCCCGAAAAGCTACTTGCTGACTGCGCCAGCCCCTCCCGGAATTGATGCTTCTTTGCTGCACCCAATGGCAGAACCGTTCCGAGGGAGATTTCAATCTCCGCGCTCGAGACTTCCAACTGACGGATTAGGGATCTCCAATTCTTTCATCCCAACTTCCTGGATTTGATTTGATTTGATTTGATAGTTATTTACGTCCGTGGGCGTGAGCCGACCTCCCGTGGGGTATGGGG